TTCAACACTCCTTTTAGATTATGTTTCACAAGTTATGTGTCACATCTGTACTTGTATTTTACTCGATAACGATCTTTGTTTATTTAACACTTGTTCTTCTTTGATGTTTGAATTCTATAGCTTTTCCTTATTCTATCGTGTATGAAATGTGTTCTTTCTAAAATAAAGTTGAAAATTAAAGACTTTGTATCTAAGTCTTTCTGTATTCACTAAAGATTGTCGATCAATTAGGATAAATGTACACATGTAAAATTTCTGAATAATTCTGATTTTTGAATGACAGTTTTGTTCATAAGCACTAAATAATTCTTGTTTTTTCGTTACTCTACTATATATGTTGTATATAAAAAAGAATATTCTATGAACTTCAATGTTATAGCCGATACATAATAGCCTACATAAAATTGAAGCCACTTTATTACTAAAGCTAGTTAAACACCCGCTAAATAAATCTTCAATAACCATACTAATGAGTAAATTCTTCCAAGTGATTCATCGCTTTTCAATTTACAATTTGGGCATATAGAGACAACTTCTGAATTAGAAAACTATAAAAGAACTCGATTTCATAGACTTTCTTTACAGAGTTGTGACTTTTATGGATTTTTATCAACCGATAGAGTATTCCCAGAAAAATTCAACAAATGGTTTGTAACTTGACATTTTTTTCTTTACGCATGTGGTATCCTCCTAAAAATATCCTAAAAAGTGTTAGTCGAAGGCCTAAACTTCCTTTTTAAGATATACAACGTGGAAAAACTGATCAGTCTCCGTAGTTGATTAGAAAAATCGTGAGTTTTGAATGCTGAATATATCAAAATTGGAAGTCATCGTTTTGATTAAAACTTTTTAGGATATTGTTAGGATAATTAAATCTACATGTAGACAAGATTTCAGAGCAGAAGTCATCGCTTGCATTGTTCGGACCATGCTCTCTACGACCTTAAAAACAACAGCGAAACTTGTAATTCTGTAGATAAGGCCTATAGACTCCAATGATTTTGAGATCATCTAGTATAGACGTTTTCTCTATATGCTGAAATTATGAGCTCAAAAATGATGAAATACTATTAAAAAATTTAAAGGTTATAAATACTCATAATACTAAAACAAAAACCAAATCAACTACAATTATGAAAAAATTTAGGAGAATATTTTTTTTTCTTTTGTGATGAATAACTGAGTTATCTGTGATATTTTTCATTGATTATACTATGTTTGGAGATCGGAGATGTTCACCACGCCTAATAAGACGACACGGTGGTGGTCGTTAGATAGCGGCGGAAGCAGACACTGAATATAATCTTGTCGATTCGAGGAAAGGCCTTTTTCCAGAGTAATTATATAGTTCTTTTTTTCACGAACTTTATTCTCTCATACCCTTTGCTCTACAATGTTTTCTAAAAAAACAGTGCCTCATTTTGAACATTTGTCTAAGAACGACAACATGAAGTTATAAATACCACGAAAGAATATTCAATTAGGCTAGATATCTGCAGACATATGTATATACTTACGGAGTATTTGTCTCCGTCTTAAATTATACTGTAGTGAAACTTGTGGACATTAAAGTTTTAAGTAAATTTAACTATGATGTTAGTCACAATGATATTCACTAAGTTTTAAGTTAGACTGATCTGTCATCAGAACAACTTTTAATCAACTTTGATTACGATTCAATATATAAATTTGACAAATGAGCATAACATGGAATGATAACATTCATGGTTTCTGACAAAGAATAAGTTTGTTTATTGATGAAAAACAAAGTCCTAAAAGAAAGGCTTTAACCAAAGTTTCGTGTTTGTTGTCCTAAAAACGATGATAGATGAGTATGATGAGTGTACTAATGATACCAAAAACAACGAAACATTTCTGTTGGACAGATGATACACCATTGCACAAGTCTGAATTACAGCAACATGTCGATATTTTTCCAACTATCGGCGCATCCGCTGTTAGACATTTGTTTTCACCTTGTGTACATTGGGTGACATTAGCGAATGCTCGACTGATGGTTCCACTTAAGAGTGTGGCTTTCTTTGAAAAATATCATTAGTCTGTATAGTAAGAAATGAAAATACGTACTAGACATCGTTCGTTAGGTTTTATTGTGACTTTCCATTCGTCTGCAGCTTGTCCCTTTTTAAAAGGATCACTACAGCCCGGTTCATTAACACTATCACACTGATAGCATTGATAGGTTTCAGTAAACCAAATGTCTAGAAGAATTTTATCATTGAATACATGTTCAATATTTATTCTAAAGTTAAAACTTACTAAGCAAATAGATGAGAACGAGAAGAAGTAATTTCATAATTGAATACTTGTTGAAATTCTTGCTATTAACCGACAAGTAAAAGCTGAAACGAATGAAAAATGAATTATATGCTTTTCTTACTCTTTTATATATAAATTCATCACGGAAGCTTTTATAAAAGGCATTTTTTAGTTATCTCAACTTGCAACGTATTTGTGCAATATTTGTAGTGGAAAAAAGTTTCTTTTTTCAAGAGTTGTGGTCATTTTTAGTTGATTCTATATAGTATTTGTAATCTGTTTTCTTGTTGCGTAAAAAAAAATCTCTGGAAGATGATGGAGTATTGACGTTCAGTGCGATGACGTCAATTTTTTATTAGATGAAGCTTATCATATCAATTCTTTTAAAAAATTCATTGAATATGTAACAGGCTATGCCTTCAAACTTATCTCATGTTCTTTTGTTTTCCTTTGATTCACAGATAGTCCTAAAAATTTACGGATGAGTAAGGATCTCCTCTTCACCCACCAACTAACATAGACACTCTTAGACAAGCTCGTTTTTTGAATATTCTATGCCTAGTTAACTGAGTATAGCTTTAAATATATTCAAAATAACGTTGTTTGAAACTGTTCATCTTCTCTATAGAGTGATATGTGAACTAAATCTTTTTGGAAGTCATAATTGTAAAATAATTGAATAAATCCTAAAATTTGCTAAAAATGCTTAATTATGTAGATCCTCTCTTTATCATCCATTTTTATGTTATTGGAGATCAATAGTTGTTCGTCATATAGTAGTCACTTAATCGCCATATGATTACCATTGTTTGAAGATGGTATAATTCATCCGTTCAGCAAGTGTGTTTCTGTCCTTTAGGTACTACTACTATTATTTCCTATATAAGAATAGATAGTATTATGCGCCCATGGTATTACATAAAAAAATTGTCATCAATTGACCGGAAGCTGTGTGAAGTAGAATAGCTAACTGATTTTATCACATTTCTCTTTATTACTAAACTTAATCGAAAATACATATTTTATTTTCTACTAAAGTGTTTTTTTTTCAATCTCGGCTATATAATCATACCACACAGCTTCCTTTTTCAAGCTTTTTTTTTTGCTCGAAAATATTACTGTAATCTTCAATGAACAGGAAGAATTTGCCTGAATCGAGACTACAAGATTTAAGTCTTATCCACCTATGAATTCTAGTCATACTGTACCGTTTTAAATGCAGATCTGATGGATTTAATGTAATTGAACTATTGTATTATATTATGCATGTGTCGTGCAGCAAACTGAGTAGTCAGATATGGCACTCAATAAGGACGCTGTTGACTGATTGTGAATTGTCATCTACTCTTCAGTGTCGAAAACATCAATAAAAATTAAAAGAATCATTTCTGTAACCATGTGGTCATGAATGACAATTTTGTATAGTTTTTAGTGAATATATTTATGTTTATACTGTGATAGTTCTCAGAACAAAGTTTGATAAGAAAGAACAGATGATGAATAATTGAATATGAGCTTTATTAACCAACGACTTTCACATATGAGTACTTTGCGTAGCGAAAAGAATACTTTTTACGTACATGTATTCTAAGTTGCGAATTATGATTTTGAACAATTCAAAAGTTACGGATTATACAACAAGTGAAACATGACCCCTAAGTTTTACTTACCAACAATAAGAATTTACACTTAAATTTATTTATTGAAATCGTCAATAATTTTGATTTGTTGAAGTTTAAATGCGTCACAGGCAAAATTACACTTAAGCAGGATTCATTTCTAATTAAGCGCCACGCGATGAAATAATTTTCTTCTACTTAATTTTCTTTTGTATTAAGAAAGTATAGCACATACTTGCGCAATGATTTTTTTCTACCATGACATCGGAATATTATTTTCGAACATATTTTTATGAACAAGCAAAAGAACAGTTAACATTTTTCCAGTATTAAATTTCAAGAGCAGATAGCTATTATTATATCACAGGGAATACATGAACTAACAAAAATTGTTAATTTTTTGAGTTGGAAAATAACTCAATAAAACTTCACAGATTAACATATTTATATTGTACATATCATAAATAGAGCTCGTAAAATTTCAAGAAGACTAAACATGGATAAAAAAAATCGGTTTGCACAATCTCTGTTGGATTAAAATCTTTTACAATACTAAAAGGATGTAACGTCAATGAATGTGAAAGCGAATGTGAATAAGCCTGTTATTTTCACCTATGCACGCTGCTAAACAGATATCTCAAAAATAAATTAGTTTATTGCATAACATTATTGATTGATATGACCAAAAATAAGCACAGCTTATGTGAATTTTCTTGATGGCCACTTTACTAACCAGCGATGAGAATTTTTTCGACTCTGAAATTGCATGAATGAAGACTGATAGATGTTCCAGCAGATGGCTTCTGTAAAGCAGTGGGACAAACAATTCCATTCTCGTTCTTACATATGCGAGACAAAGCTTAAGTATCAGTTTTTTCTTCAATATCACAAAAACTGCAAATATTGACATATCAGTTAAATATAGTAGTCTTAATGATTTTAGACGTTGCTAACAAAAATGATCTAATAGATTTATCTCGACAAATACAATACAGATGCATACATTAGGACATAATCTTCAGCTAAATATCATTAGAAACAAAAAGAAATGTGAGCATGATGATTGTTATGTTTTCTTTCAAAAATTCAGTTCATTTTCATTCAATTGACATTTATATTAGATGTTTGCCGTTTCCAGCAAAGATTCGCACCATTCACAAGAACGTTCGTCAATGATGTATTTGCATCGAGTGTGTTAGTAAGATCGCGTACACCTTTAGATCCGAATCGGTTACCCGAAAGAGATAAGATGGTTAATGTCTGCGAAGAATAATAAATGTGCTTAGGAAATAAAAAAAAGAAAAACAATCGCTCTTACCGTGTTGTCATGCAAAGCATCAGCCAAATATTTTGCACCTTTAGGTCCGATATGATTTTGTTGAAGAGAAAGTGTAGTTAGTGTCTATAATGAATGAATACTATGAAAACCAATCAAGTAAACGTCGAAAATTCGAATCACCGTATTAATTCTTAATGCATCAGCGATATGACTTGCACCTAAACAACCGATGTAGTTTTGTTGAAGATCCAGTGTAACAAGTGTCTGTGTTTAATAACAAACACTCATTTGAATACGATAGATGAAAAATACATTTAACTCACCTTGTTTTCTCGCAATGCATTAGCGATATGTTCTGCTCCTTCATCTCCAATTCTATTCCAAGAAAGATTCAGAGTAGTCAGTATCTATATGCAATATTTAATAACAATCAAAACTAGAAAAAGAGAAGAAAAGTAGCTTACTGTATTTTCCTTCAAGTTATCGGCTAAATCTTTAATTCCCTTATTACCAATAAGGTTTTGTTGTAAATATAATTCTTCTAGAGGCTATACATAAATGATGCCAAGAAAAAATTTAAAAATAATAAAACCATTTTACTATAGTTGTGTTCATTATAGTAACAATATGTTTTATTCCTTTATCACCAATTTGATTTGACTGTAGACCAAGTATAGTAAGTGTCTATGTTGAATAATCAATAGTAATGTAAAAGAAATACATTGAGAAACTTTTGTTACCTGATTTTTTTCCAATGCATGAGACAGATACTGAGTACCATTAAGTCCAATTCGATTATTGCCAAGAAGTAATACAGATAATTCCTAAAAGTATTCATATGATTAAGGTTAGAAATGTAACAAAATAAGGAGAAAATTTTTTATTACTTTGGCGTTTTGTAATATATCAACAAGACATTTTATTCCTTTGCTGCTGATTTGATTGTTTGAAAGATTGATTTCAGTGAATGCCTACATGAAATGTTTTTTTTTAAATATGCTTCACAAAGAATCAAATGTTTAACCACCCTAGAATGTAATTCACTAGTTATATCCTTCTAACAATGTGTAATTTTGATCACAAATCATGTAATGTCGTTCGGGAAAAAAATAACTAAGATGAGTTCTGTTTTTCGATATAGTTCTGCCCGAGTATAAAATCCTGAGTATTGCATTTGCCAGTTATTTCAAAGGCTAGAGTCTATTGCTTTTCAGCTCATATAGAGAGATAAATTCCTTTAAATTCAAGTTTTTGGTCAATCTTAAAGTGTTGAACATTCTTCTCAATGCAATATACTATTTGATGAAGAAGACTTAGCTCTCATGATAGTTTTCAACATAATAAAGATATACGAGGATGATGTTAAGAATTAGAATGATTTCTAACCGTGATTTCGTGATATCTTTTGGCCAAAAGCGTCATATCTTGGTCATTTAAGTGTTCGTCACTCAAATCAAGTTTTTGTGAACCTTTTTGATCAGCCATTCTCTTGTCAAGCGATGGTTTTTCATATGATAAAGACTTGTTGATCTGTTGTTCGACTCGTCCACATTGGAGAATTTCTTCTTTGATTTGAGTCAATTTTTCCAATCCCTCAATATAATATTGAGTTCTTGCGGGAACTTTTAGTTTACGCAGTTCTTTGTGAATTTTATTTAGATAGTCAACTGGTCCATACTCTGTTTGTAGGAGCCGTATATGTTCTCTTTTTGATACAATTTCATAAAATTTAGCTTGTTGAATATCGAGGGAGTTTTGTATGTTATATAGACGAGTTTGATAGTCTTCCAACTGTCTAGTATCATTGGTTTCAATCACCGAAATATTCTCTTTCAACTTCGCTTCACGCTCATTAATTATTTGATGCAATGATGCGAATGCTTTATGAATTTTGACTGTGTCAGTTTCATGAGTACGATGCACTTCACTAATCAGCTTTTTCGTTTGATTCATTTCATCGTTTATTGATGATTGGATGTTTCGAAAACCAGCTTCAATCTAAATACAAATAAAGTAAATTTTTGATTAAATATCATTTAAATCAAAATCATACTAGCCTGTATTGCTAAATTTTTGGCAACTGCATCAATTGAAGCGAAACTTGTATCTTTATTGTTGAAAAACAAGCAAGTATGGCAGATCAGTGTATCACACGTATGATATTTTTGCGTAAGTGTACTGCTGAGTTGATTTTCTGTTTCCATTATATATGGTAGGCAATCACTTATCAGAACAATGCAAAATTTTCTATAATTAGTACGTCGACTAAAATGAAAAAGATATACTACAAAATATATCAATCAGAAAATAACTTAATAAACGTAAAACAACAGATCGCATTAAAATGAGCTAATATAGGTGTCTGTTACAGTCTGCTAAATTCGCCGTCTAAGTAATCGTGAAGAATTTTTTTTCTGAGTCAAAGCTGGAATTATACCAATAATAAACTCAAGTATTTTTGCTCTTACATAGTAACATCTTTATCCTTTATATGTAAACTAATGAATAAAAATACACCAGTTCATTGATTTATAATTAACATTCAAGAGAAACCATACAGAAAAGAAACGTTCTCATTAATAATTACACATAAATTAGTATATATGCAATGTTATGTAGACTTGGTGACGTTTGACAAGTCACCAGTAGATCAATAGTCTTTTACTGCGTCTGGAGAAAAGGAAAAATTAGAGTAGTTTCATTTTTCCGATTAGTTCCTAACAAGTAGCTGACTATTTTCTATCTCCATATAACTAAAAATAACTGTGCCGAGTGCTAGGAACAAACGAAACAGGAAAAGTTTAAATATCATAACAAAATTACGTGGTATCTGCCGTTCGAAGAGGTCACATCAGAGAACAGAACCATATTCTAATACTATTTGATCATGTCAAGTACGAACTTTGTGCTATCAACTTATGAAAATGTAAACCTATTTTTTTTTCTCCCTGGAGAAAGAGGATCTAAGTGTGGAAACCTTATTGGAAATCTATACTATAGGGCTTGCTTAATTTACTACAAATAAAAAGTGCTTGGTTAAAATAATAGGTGAAAATCAATTACTTCAACTCTCTATATGCATTACATTGATTCAAATATTTTTCGATTGAATTTATAGAACAATGCAGCGCATCGATAAATGGTGATGCTTGCTTCAACGTTTCTTTATGTTAAAAAAATCCATAGTTTGAATATTCAGCACATGACAGAAATTATTCTCAAGATCAATATTAGAAAACTGATCGATTTTTCGTGTGTATTGTCTTGTAGATGACTTAACTGTGGTTTGAATCTCTACTTACTGAGAAAGGCGAACAGAAAAAACATATGCAAACGTGCTGTTATAGAAGAACAGCAATTGTTCTTTATGAATTGACCAATAGTTTAAAATGTTGGGCGCAAAAAAAAATTCTTTTACTTTTCAACGTTACGTTCTCAAGAAAAGAAAGAAAAATTTGTTACGATAGCAACTCTGTAGACATACAAAACTTGGCATGTGATGTTAACGCATATTTTTCTTTTCTTTCTAATGGTTGAAGTATGAAGAAATCCTCTTTTACTTTTTATATAGTACTGCTTTGAAAATCCAAGGTGAAAACACGCGTTTGAAGAATGCAAAAAGCAACCGTCAACGAATACGCTTTGCTAATCTAGTTCAGTTACTTATTTTAAGTATTTTAGCAAGTACTTACACATGTAACACCCAAAGAATGTGTCATTTCTAACAAATCAATAAGTAATTCGCAAGTAATTGTTATTTTAAACGACAAGTACTATAGTATGAGTTAATCAAAACATCAGGATCCACACTCGATGTTACATGAAAGGACTGCTTTTCTTGTCTTTAAGAGTGAAAAAAAGGAGGTCATTTTTTAAGTTCTATAAATCAATAAAAATCAAAGTGTTTTAGAAAAAATGCAACATCAACTGATGTTTATATTTATAATTCTCTCTGAGTTTTTGCTTAGTGCATCCCACGAAAAGCTTTTCTTAATACACTATTGAAGTTGATATACATTTGCTTCTATGTATACATATGACGCAATATTCTATTTCATTTCTTCAATATATAGAATGACTAGTTCCATGATTGCTATTGCCATCTGGAGAAGATCTCTTACATATCAAACTGATATTAGTCCTTATGTAATGCGACTATCAGAGTGTGTTTTAATAGAGTATAAATTAGAAATAATAAAAACCGAGAAAAATTAGGCAAAACCACCTTTTTTTTGGATAATTTCATCGCGCCATTATCTCAGAATTAATCAAACTAGTAAATCACGATAAAATCATCAACTATAAGGATGAAATCGAAACAAATATGAATATATACAGCAAATGCGTAGAAGATAGATGTGAAAAAGTTAATCCACTGAATTACGAACAGTTATGCTTAGATAAGTCAATCAACTGAAGTGATGTTGATCATCAGTATCGCTTTCATAACGGGCACAATGATTCTCAATATTAAGATCATATTGATGCTATAAATACGACTTTTAAAATCATCCTAATGCATTATTTACTACAATAAAATAAGTTTTAGCTAAAATCGTCGTGAAAATTTAAGTGACACATTGCTGCTGATTTTAAGTTGTATTTTATATATATATAACATTGTCTGCTTTTGTTGTCGAATCATTCGTTTGTTACTTTTCGAAGATAGTAACGTTTTACCTTTCTTATCTACCTTTTGTTCTCTGTGTTTCTATTATTTGAATATCTTTCACTTAAGAATTTTGTTGAAAACGATTTCACTTATCAAAAGTACAACATTTAGCATAAGAAGCAAACGATGAATGAATGCAGCTAAAGAAGAAATTCATATTCGCTTCAAGAACGTCATTTCGAATAAACTGCAAAGGTAATATTCATTTTTGTATGTTGTGAGACGGTCAGCATCGTGCCAACATACGCAACGGTTAACAACGATAAACTTTATTCAATATCTATTCAAGTATTTGATTACTAATAGTTAATAAAAAGAATTGTTTTTAAAGACGCGACTAAAATTGATAAGTTGTAAAAAAAAAAGAATATGGATGAGGTTGTGAAAGAAGAATATGATCAACTTAAACCCCCATCAACACTTCTGTAAATACGTGGCATCTTGTTTTTGGAGTGTAAGCTAAGTTTTGGCAAGTAACATAATATTTCAAAGATTCAGAATCATTGTATTTATCCCGGTCATTTTGTCGGTAGCAATCTAGAATATCCTTTATGAAAAGTGTATGACTTTTCATCCTTGAAAAAAAATGTCCTTCCAATAAAGTATGAACAGTGCTTGGTGACAGTGTTAATAATGCACTTTAGTTTATTATAACTGATTGAATTTTATTACATTTCTCATTTGCAACAAAAAAATAATAAAGGGTGGGTGTACATGTTGACTCTTTATCCACACCTACACTCATATTAAAGTGCGCAGTGTTCTTAATATTCCAACTGAAAATTGATTCATGATGAACTATATTCTGTTTGTCATGACGAAGCTCCAGCTTACAATATGGTCGTAAAATAGTTTCGTCAAGATCAAGTACATATCAAAGATGAACTATACCATGTAACCAAGTCAAAATATGAGAATATTGATGACACTCAAATGATAATTGTTTCCAGTTAGGGTAGTATTATGCGAATTATTTTTATTCAGTTGAAGCTAAAAAGTTTACTGCTCGCTGGATATCCAATCAGCTGACTGACACTCAATGAGCTGAATGAGTTCGGCTATGCAAAAAAGGGTGTGGGTGTGAGTTTGTAGTGTACGGTGCGTTGTTCTATCAAAACCACGGTCTCACCGACACCCACACCCTATTTGGGTAAGGTGGCTTCCAGCAACTTCTGGCAAGAATATTTAGGGCAGAATTGCTAAGAATTACTGACTATTCAGATTCTCAAAAGAAATGTTCACAAAAAGCGCATGAAACTTGTCGAGAAGATAATTGTTTCTCTTTGATAGTTTTCATAGATTTATTTGTTAGCTTCAGGTATTAGGTAGGATTGTAGAATTGGAAAGGAGGGGAAATGACTTGGTTGATCAGTTTAGCAGTTTCTAATAAATGTCCACTTAAATAGCGCAGTATCCAGGGTTGCATATTGCTGGTACAATCAGTGCGTAGACAAAATATCCTCTATGATTGGTTACCGAGATCGAACTCGACCAGCTGCAGGTGTTACTTGATCAATAATAGCAAACAGTTTCGCTCGTAGTGGTATCGATTGACGATGGCAAAGTGCTAACATATCAATCTGTTGCACCCTTACCGTAATAATTACTCACAATTGGAGAATAGGCAAGCTGTGTATCAGCTGCGCCTGTAAATCGAACTCACACTGCTGAAGACGTGAATATGCTGCCATCCAAACTACTAGATCCACTATAGGCAGCATTGCGGGTTCCATCATTAATTTTTGTATAGCTCACGCACTGAGCTGGCAAAGAGCTCGTAATGGCTACAAACAATCAAGACATTTTTTGTTTTCTAGCACTCGTTTTGGGTGTGGGCAATGTGAGTATGAGGGTGTGGATGCTGTTCTTCTATCTGCTCTTTTGTCCACATACATACACCGACATCCACACCCACACCCACACCCACACCCACCCTTTTGCATTATATCCAAAATTTGAAGTCCTAAATTTTGTGATTAGTAACGATGTATTCTCTAACGACATGATAATATTGACTAAAAATAATGATGAATTTTTTTTCACATTAAAATATTCAATTTTTTTTCTTTATTATGAATTTCTTTTGTATTGATAACAAAATAATAAAAAGTACGAATAATAAAACAAGAAAAAAGAATTGTTGTTTGAATAAAAAGAAACGATTGTAGTGCAAGACTTTTTGAATTTATCATTTTCAATGGATTTTCCGAAAACAGTGCAGTAGGATGAAATATGGTCGGTGCTTTTACTAGTAATTTACTAAATCAAAGAACAGAGTACGAGTTTACAAATTAAATAATTCAAAGAGAACCTGTGTGTGGTTAAACAGAATATCAACATCTATATCCACACTCTTCTTGATATTATTAAAAGTACTGGTTATAAATGCAAGTTTTACTCTAGATTTGTGTAGCTTCCTCTTAGACTCCAGCGACATGGTTTAAAGATCAGAGACCAATGAGCATGGTTTTCCTAGTAAAAGGAGGAAGAATGGTAACAGAAAAGGTACTGAATGACATCATCAACCAGATATAGACTATTCTAAAACATTTTAAAGCCTTCCATCAAACTTTAATGGCTGAAATATGTTCGTGAATACGTTAAATAGTATGTAGTCGTTATGGGATCAACATAAAAAAAGGTGAACTGTTCCTATTCTAACTTTAATGGATACATGTAACCGACTTATTTACTAGTTAAATCAATGATTCAAATCATAATAAAACACACACAATATGAAATACAAATCAACAAGCCAAACCGAAAATTGAGCACAAATGCCCAAAATAAATGAGACTGATGGTTTTTGTGGAAATTGATTATCTTTTGCAAACAACAATAATGTTCACTAGAGATATTTTACTTAATCTATTTTGTATTAGTATATACAGCTAAAATTTAATGACAATCTATTCTAATTGATTTAGAAAATTTAGATATGATTGTTATAACAGAGACCGATTCTAGTAAAAAAGTCGATAAATGAATTCATGTTGATATGTTTTCATTTTATGAATCGATATTTTTAGTCTTTATTGAGGCTGTGGGTATGGATGAGAGAGAGTATATGATTCATCAACACATGCAAACAACATCTACACCCAGACCCAAGACGATGATAAGATCGTATTTTGAATGTGTGCAATTAAATCAGCATATACTTTTTTTGGATTCGATTCATTTATGAATGCTTGTTCAAATTGACGTCGTTGTTCAATATTCGTTAACTAAAATAAGTAAAATAGATTTTTTTTGATACAAATAATATTTGGAGCTTTTCTTTTGTCTCTTTTATAATACCTGCAGATAATATTCTTGACCAGCAATAAGAAATAAATGATTGTTTAATTCTTCAAAACGAGCACTGAAACGTGATAACATCAATGAAAACCTGAAAAAGTAAAATATATACCATATTATCTATGAGAATTCATTTTGACTAAATTTTAATCGTACGTGTAAGTCTTGATAATTTTTAAAAAGAAAACGAGGAAGAATATTTAACTATAGGTGAAAAATAAATGTGGAAACCTCGGATTTAAATCCGAGAGTTATGTGTACTTCAAAAAGTAAATGAGACAAATCGGTCATCCTAGAATGTGTGGATATAAAAATTAGCCTGGCAAATCCTTTCTATAAACATTTGAATTCTATTGGCTACTACTCAACCAATAGGATTTCGGAGTGAACACAGCTCAGATTTAGACTCTTCGCCTTGAGTTATCCTAAAAAACTCGTTTTTCCTATAATTTGGTTTCTATTGGTCAGTGCTCAACCAATGGGGCTTCGAGTGAAGTAGATTACAAATTCGAGTTCTTCATCCTAGAAAACCTCGAAGTATTAACTCTGTGATCGGAAGATAGAGCTCGAATTGTGGATCGATTAGAGCGCAGACAAAAACAGAACCGATTTCCGTTTGTTTATCTCTGCAATAGGTGAGCTAGCCTTGTTGTTTCTTTATGTTTTATATACTGTTTTGTAGCTCGTGAAATTCTCTATCGAATGGTATATAATAGTTGGGGGTTTATATGACTATGATAGGAAAAGTTTTTTACGAAAGCAGAGAAGGGTCTATCTTCTCATAGGGAAAAATGACTATTTTTGCAATAACTCAGCAATGGCTCGGCCAATCATTCTCATCTTCGAACTCGACCGAGATATTGTAAAGACTAAACTGTGTAGAAAATTTCATCGCGATCGGACTCTCCTTTCAAAAGTTATCGTGTTAACGGCCGGCCGGACGGCCGGACGGACACACTGACCGATTCTAGAGTGTACTCACTTTTTGAGTACACAAAAATAGCTCATCCAACAGTCCAAATACGACTTCACTCTATTTTACTCATAAGACTAAATTCAGAAAAACTCGTGCAATATTAATTCACTATTAAATCATCAGTATGAAATTTCAATACAATTTTTTTTTCTTTAAAGATTAATATAAAGAACAAAGAAAATAAATGCGGAAACTTCGGATTTAAATCCGAGAGTTATGTGTACTTCAAAAAGTGAATCATACAAATCAATCATCCTAGACTGTCTGAATATCAAAATTATACTGTGAAATCTACCATTTAAAATGTTGATTTCTATTGCGCGTTGCCAAACCAATAGGACATGGGCCAAATACAGCTCAAGTTTGAACTCTTTCCCTTGATTTACCCGAAGAAAGTCGTTTTCCCTATAACTTCATTTCTATTGGTCACTACACAACTAATAGTATTTCGATGTAAGTGTAGTACACATTCGAGTTCTCCATATCTGAAAACCTCGAAGTATCATCAGTGTGACCGGAAGATAAAGCACTATTTGTGGATCAATTAGATCGTGGACCAAAATATAATCTAGTTCTCTTTAATTATCCTTGTCATTGGTAAGTCAACCTTCTTGTTTCTTTGTTTTATATATCATTTTGTAGTTCTTGAAATTCTCTATCGAATGGTATATAATAGTTGGGGTTTTAATTGACTATGATAGGAAAAGTCTTTTACGAAAGTCGCGATGGGTCCATTTTTCCACAGAAAGCTATAGGGCAAAATGGGTATTTTTGCAATAACTCAGGAACGGCTCGGCCGGTCCTTCTCATCTTCGAACTCGACCGAGAAATTGTCAAGACTAAGCTGTGTAGAAATTTTCATCGTAATCTGACTCTGCTGTCAAAAGTTATCATGTAAACAGCCAACCGGACGGACGGACACACTGACTATTCTATAGTGTACTCACTTTTTGAGTACACAAAACTATGATTCAGTTCAAAACTAATATCAGATTCAGAATCAGCGTTAAAAACTGAGTCGATTTACGTATTTTGTGAATAATTATGAGCAAAAAATTTTTTTTTCGAAAAATTCCCGTACCCCCCCTCAGGGATGGTCTGGTCAAAAATCACAATTTTTTCGATAACTCAGCCATTTCTTAGCGGATCCTTCTCATCTTCGAACTCGACCGAGATATTGTCAAGACTAAGCTGTGTAGAAAATTTCATCGCAATCTGACTCTCCTTTCGAAAGTTATCGTGTTAACGGCCGGACGGCCGGACGGACATACTGACCGATTCTAGAGTGTACTCACTTTTTGAGTACACAAAAAGATGAGCAAGGATAAATGATTTAAGTAAATACTTACAATGCATCAGCAATTGTAAGTGATGGACATGCACTTAACATAAGACAAGTTAACTCCTATACAGCCATACCTGTTGATTTTCTTTGTGCAATATTTGTCATTGATAATAAAGTCCATTCATTAACTTTAGTTGAATAATGTGCATTATTTAAAGCATGAAAAAAAGCAAAGACTGTATATGCAAGTATTTGAGGATAGAATTATTGTGTTGATGCAGCAAATTCTAAAATCATTTTATTCATTAAACAATCCGATAAACCAATATGTGCAAATAATAATGGTAATGGACGTAATAAAAGTAAAGCTTCATATGGTAATATTGATGATTATATTATTGATGAACTATCAATCATTTTTTGTTCTTTATTAGCATGTTCATTATTTAATGAATTTGTATTTTCATTTGATAGTTGTAATAATGTATAATACGTGTAAGTATTAAAACAAGATAATCAATATTGAACGATGATGATTGACGTATTATTGTTATTGAACGTTCATATAAACGCCATATATCATTTTTAGGATATTGACCAACTATTAAAAGTCTTTCAAGACTACTTGATATAATTTTTTGTGTTAAATTATTATCTTTAATTAATGATAATAAAATATCATATGAATGTAAATCAACTTCATGACTTTCAAGTAAAAATAAACATGATGCATATGCATGAGTTTTAGTTATTAATTTATAATTATGTTCAATTAAATGTATATATAATGAATTATATTCTTTTGTTGTTTGTCCAAGTAATATACTAGATTTACATAAATTATAACTTATTAAGGATATCATTAAATCGTCTTCATCAAACCATATACGAAAATATTCATCACATAAATCATATAAATTTGATACATGTTGTGATGATGTAAATCAATCAGATAGATATATAAATGAACCTATTAATTCATATTACATATATTTCAATTAGAATTTGTAAAGATGATGTTAAATCAAGACCATGATGAAAAAATAAGCGACCAAATAAACTCTAAATAATATATAGTTTAAAAGTGAATGCCAGCGAAGGAAATGTTCATACTGTAATTTTCTGATTGATAGAATATATTTAAAATTATTGAGATAAGCTTTTATCTATATGAAATAAGATAGTTTTCATGTATTATATATCAAATCAAAGTCAGAGAAACACTAGATTTTTTGTTTGATGAAATTAATAATTTAGCAATGAATTTACTTTTCTCTTAACTTAGAGCTCTGTATACACTTATGTTGAATATTCAATATTAACAAAAATACAAGCTCTACTTGTCAATTATTAAAACATATATAAACTTACATTAACTTGTAATGGTAATTTATTATTACTTTGAATTGATATTAATATAGTATCATATGAAAGTTGTCCATAGGACAATCTGTTAATAAAAATGAAATAGATTTATTCCGACATCGATGTTTTCAATCGAAGTGCGTTTAATAAAAATGTTGTTACACCACAAATCCATACACTCAGCAGAGACAAAAAAAACAGATAATATCTAGTTTTTTTATCGTGTTACCATTATGTTGCATTTTGTTCTAAAGTTTCTTCTTTTTTTAAATTATTTGTTGTTTGTTTATTTTCATCATTAGATTGATTTGTGGTGGATTAATTGAAGCTAAAAATGAAACCCATATATCTTGAAATTGTATTCTTGATAATCAACAAAATCCAAAATTGTCTTGATATACGTATACATGAATTAAATATTGGTAAACAAAAAAAATAATATAGCTATACAACGTCAATCATTTCAATAAATATATGATTTATATACTTAATTTTTCTTGTTAAATAATAAAAGTAATAATTGTATAAATGATCTACTATCTGGTTCAATTAAACTTAAATATGATTATAATAATTGATTTATTTATTTGATAGAGTTAAACCATGTCGTTGATAGACATATTCAAATATTGATAAGTGTTTTCGATAACCTACAACATGATATTATTTGATATATTTCACAACTAAGAAATGACTTTTTTTGAAATATATTTATATAAATTATTTCTGATATAAATATTATAAAACGTAATAAATCATATATATCACCTGTTGAAATAAACTATACAAAGTCCTAGGAAGACAAAAAAAAGAACAGATTTATATTGTTTCTTGTTTTCTCAAATCAATTTTCATCTACTGTAAGAACCATCTTAAAAACTTTATGCTATAGAAAAAAACTCAATACGTTTTCAGAGCCCAGGAATTCAAACCTATAGAAAGTTTGTCGAAATTCTCGAATGCAATTTTATCGTTTGAGAACGACTTCATGATATTTTATAAAACTCAGCTGCTTTTTTGAAATAGATCTCTTTCGATCGAAAAACTCAAAATGAATATAAGATGAACATCGTTGTTGCATCCATAGTCATCGGTTCATGATATTTGTTTAGAAGAATATTTCATAAACTTGAAATTTCTGATTTCTAAAAATTATTTTGAGTTGCAAATAAATAACACAATCGAAAACATCTTACGAGATATCTTTAAAACTATTTATGATTATTTTCTTCATTAGTCATTTCATAATATTAGAAAGATGTCGTTTTCTTTAGTTGTAATAGTACAAATAGCACGACTCAGAATTTTACTAATGTAGCCTAAATGCTTTCCTTTATGATTTGCATTACCTGAAATTCTGCATATTTTCTATTTCAAAATATGTTTCGAAATTTTGAATTATTCAAAAGTCTCATCTATTATTAGCACATAAACAATGTCAAAGTAAAAAAAATTGCTTTCGTTAATTGGGTTAAAATTTTCATTATACATATATATGTTGGCGTCCAATGTCGGATTCAGTCCAATCTCGGATTGGCCTAGGCGAATCACGGATGCTTACATTGAACTAGTCCAATATCGGATTGATGCAATTCGGTTCACTGAAATATCAATTACTCTTGAGATAGATGTTCGATTCGAATTACTTTTTGAAATTATGTTCACACAATGCCAATTTGTTTGTCACTATCGTTGTTGGAAAGATTTAAGTAAAAGTTTGGGAGTTATGAATAAATTTCTATAGAACAACAACTTTTATGAAAAGTTGTTATAAAGTTCTTCAGTCTAAATTTGGCTTCTTCCTGAATACCTGCAATACTTAAAACGGCACCGTGCGAACATACTTAAAAAAAAATAATTCGAATCCAACGTCTGTCTCAAGAGTAATTGATATTTTAGTGAACCGAATTGCATCAATCCGATATTGGACTAGTCCAATGTAAGCATCCGTGATTCGCCTAGGCCAATCCGAGATTGGACTGAATCCGACATTGGACGCCAACATATACATTTATTTCGATAAATTAAACTAAAACATATCGGTGACATCATAAATGGTAATCATTTTTTATAAGTTACATTTTTAAGCATGTGTTCATAAATTTTTCTTATTATATCCATAGGATAATTAAGATTATTAAAATCTTCTTTAATAATATCGATTGATATTGTTATTGATAATATTTATAAAATTCATGGTGTATATTTAGGTAATAATTGTTTATTTAGTGTTTGTGGGTCAAGTGTTAATATCGTTTCAATACGATCATAAACAATTAATTCAGCTAAACGTAATACAGATATATATGGTAATGGAAGAAATTGTTCAATTAATAAAACTAATAGAAGACCACTTCCATCTAAATGCATTCCTTCAGAAACGAATAAATGACTTGCAATTGATGTATGATGGATAAGATCAAATAAATTATGTACATATGTACATGTATCACTTTGTTCAAAATAAAAAATAATAATAATAATTAATAATGTGTTGTTATTGATGTAAAATGTTCAACATATAATTCATGATGACATATTCAGAATGTGTTCGTTGTAATAATAGTGGTATATAAAATGATGATCATAATAATTTAAAACATTCACTTAAAATAGTTAAATATGAAAATGTATCAAGACGATGTACAGTTTCATCATGAATTCATAATTGACGAAAATCATTTACAATTGTTCGAAATTGTTTAGCCACAATAAAATTATAGATCTTATAAACCCATAGGAATTTTAAAGTCAAATGTTTTTCGCTAGCTCATTAGTAATTAATGAATTGTAGGAAAATTTTATCTTCAAATTAATGGGTGATATGTTACTATCATATAGATTACGATGAAAGCTTAAGTTCTTTTGACTTTGATAGAAACCAGTTTTTATCTGTTCAGTTAGTCCATAATATACATAAGTACATAAAGGTAATCGGATGCAAGAGAAACTAATGTCATATTGAATTGACCGCATAATTGTCGAGTATTAGTTAAAATTCGTAATATTACGTCATGTAAAATTCGAAGAAGAGCTCTGAAAACAAAAACGAGAATAATACTTGTTAAATTATAAATAAAATCATTTCGAATACTAACTCACTAAAAGTTTCATCTCGTGTTCCATTAACTGATAATAAAACATCATTCTATTCTGTTAATATAGCATCTTCAGTTAAATTTTGTACAAGATATCGAAGTATTATATTTATATTGATTAACTATCGATTTGTAGATTGACAATTGACATTCTAAAAAATTTTAAACTACAGGAAAATTTTATAAATAAAAACGGCGAACATTTCTATTTACTAATGCTCGAAAAGCAATAACAAATGGATCAATTGATCGTAATTCAACTGATGACACAACATCAACTAGTGTTAATTGTGTGGAATAAATATCCAAAAGTGATTGATCCTATTTGAACAAAAAAAAAGGTAACGTAAAATCAGAAACTATTAAAAGTAAAATAACCTGAGATTGTAAATGAGCAAGAAGTAAATCGACAATTTGTCGTGAAAGACGTTTCCATTTATCATCTTCAATTTGGACACTATCAACAATAACTATTAACAATCGTAAGTTTTAGGAATTTTAATTATTCGCATAACTCGAACAAGAAAAAAATCATATAAAACTGGTTCTAATGCTGCCAAAGCTAAATAAAGAATTTTAACGATAATTTCTTTTTCTCGAAAATGTTTTTTTTTGCTTCCTACTATGTGTTTCAGGTTCATGTCCACTTGCTAATAATGAATCGTATTGTTTTATTAAATCTTGTACTTTAATAACTTGTTTTAATGAAGTGTATCATGTGATAACATAACAAGAAATTCAGCAATACAATAAATAAAATGCTATTTAAAAATAAACGAAACGATCTGAAATGCAACGAATTTCATCAGCTTCTAATTAACTATAATTAACACGAATTAAAAGTAATTGAACAAGTAAATCGAGTACAACAGCTTGAAAATTACTTTCATTTGTATTAATATATTTTTTAAGACTAATTTTTTAGTTCAATAAAAACTAAAATAGAAAACAAAACAAACAGAATAGATCAAATTCGTTTTTTTGTCTATTTTACTCTCGTATTGCACTATTTTCTATGGATTGATCACTATTTATACTTGATGCATAACGTGAACCAAATAAAATAAATTATCGGTTGTCGAATACTTATTGTATGAATATAAGTTAAAGAATTATTTAATGATACTTGTGAAGAAACATTTGAAGATTTAATAAAAACTAAATTAAAAGAATATTTTTAAATGAATGTTGCGTTAACAGAAAAACTGATTTTCAAATTTCGAATTGATAGTATGTCTTACAGATCGCTCACGTAAATTAGATGATTTAATATTCGGATTTCAAGATAGAACCAAATGAAAAGATCTGACACTTTCACAACAAAACTACTCTCGTTAAGATCATCGATATTTGTAAAATCAGTTTTTCTATTACTATGACATTCTTACATTGAAATTTTGCTTCTCTAGGAAAGACCCTTTCAGAAACCTTCATTATAAGATTTCCATCTAAAGTTTTATCTGTAGACAAGTTTCAGACACAATACAACATCCTAAAGGTTTTAGCTTAAACAATAAATAAAGAAGATTAATAATTGAAATTTTCTTTACAATAAATATTTACTATTTAAAAGAAGTTACCTTTTGTGTACACTGAATGTTGATTTAAAATAATTAAGTGTTTCTCTTCCAATTTTTTTTTGATAAATCTTGTGTAGAAATAAGACTTAAAACTGATTTCATAGACAATAATGATTATTTCTGATGAATTTAATAAACTTTTATGTATTTGATAAGATGAACGTCTTAATTCGAATAATTTCCAAAAGTACCTAATTGTGTATGATTAACTCTTTTAACTTTGTCTGTGTTTGATGTTGTTGATGAATCTTTATCATTCTATTTAAAAAGACAAAAAACAAATGAATTCATTCAGACGAAACATGATCAAATATATTCTTCAAATCTAACACTTTAGAACTCCTTTCTTCTCTGAAAACTAAAATATCAACTATATTCTGTCCAAAAGAATGATGATAAAATAGTTCAATTTTTCGAATTACTTGAATCATTTGTGCTACTTTCAAAACATTTTTTCGTTTGCTGAGATTTGATAAATCTTCAAATAAAAAGAAAGAATTAAAAAAAAACATAATAAATATCTTTTTTTTTCTTTACTTGAAAAGATTAAACTATTAAGATCATGTAATATAAAGGGATGTTTAAACAAAATTATAAATAAACGAAGTTCATCATATTGATTATGAAAAAATTGGTCGAATTGTTGTTGGTCTTAAAACATTTCAAAGAACATAAATATCTTCTAAACATCCAACCTATATAAAAGACAAAAATAACAAACAATTTGTATTCGAGTTGATGCTTGAGCTTGTAATGAATGATGAATTTTATATATCCATTGACATGGTAAAAATGAATTGTGATCAACAAACCTTAAAATCAAAAAGTAGCTAATGACTAACTTAATTCAATAAAATCGACTTATGCATTCAAATTCGAAAAAAAGCTACCTAGTTAATATCTCTACAAAATGTATACTTAGCAAAAGTCGAAGCAATTGCTTGACGAACACGTATATCAGGGTACTGTTGTTTTAATTGTTGTTCAAGATAAGTTAATGTTCGAAAATCAATGTCATCTATAAGTTGAGCTAGACTAACCTATTTTATATAGATACAAAAAAAAATTATTATAATCATAAATTTCGTTTATCTACTTTAGCAAGAGTACAGGAACTTGTAGTATGTTGAATAGAATCTTCTAATAATTTAATTCCTATGATTGTAAATGCATGACTATTAATTAATAGAAAAAAGGTAATAATATTCGTAAAGCATTTAGTGAAACATGTATAACACGTGCATTATTACCATTAAGACATATAACCTTGAACTGTCTTGTGAATCAGTTGATATAAGTGAATATTGATTAATAAAAGAATTATTAAATGAATTTGATAATGATGATAGTGTTAAAAGATGATTTGTTATTTGAATTAATGTAGTAAGTAAATTTGCACATGCACCACGTAAATGTAGATCACCGTATTCACATAAAGATAAAAGATATGTAATATCTTAAAAAAAAGATACCTTGATGTTCGATAAATTTTAATGTATTACAAATCGTATAGAGATGTGAATTTCATTTTTTCCTTTAGAGAATTCAATTTTAATTATAAAATTATATCTAATCAGAAATCTTCAAAGACTAAAGAAAAACTCCTTAGAGGATACAATTGATTTCATATCCCGAACTTCGGCTTAGAACTTTTTTTGAGGTAGTTATGTGATTGTATAATTTCAATCTCTGATGTATAAATGCAGGCTTTGAGCTTCAATAAAATGTTCTACTTGACATCTTTTCGAGTCTGATAATGTTCTAGTCTATTGTTGATTTCAAAAAAATTAAAAGTAGAAATAGGACTAGAGCTGCTGAATCAATATCGAGAAATCTCCATTCTTGAATTTTCAGATTCCAATATATATATATGTTTCAACAATTTAATAGTGAAATTGTCATATCTATCAGATAACTTTCACTAAAACTTTGAGACTTTAACCAATTCAAGCCACGTCAACTAAACTCTGCCACAATCTCCTTCGCCTAGACCCTCCTACTGTTACGACATTAGAAATAATTTTGGATTATAAAAAAAATCTATTTCACTGAACTGAAAGTTTACAAAAAAAAGTCAAACAAGAATTAAACATACTTTTAGTAAGATAAACAAATGGATCAAATTGTTTATAAATACGATAGACATATTGGTATAGCACATTTAACATTAATACATGATTCATCATCACTTTTTATCGTACCATCCATATTAAGTATATATCTAATCGGAAAAAAAATATAATTGATTAACAAGTTTAGCAGCTGATATTCATTTTTCATTATTAATCATTGATGTTGAATCGAATTCATCATTCATTTCAATAAATCAACGTTGATATGTTGAATAAGCTATTGTTTTAGAAAAAAACCCAAATAAAAAACTCGTTTCTTTCTCAATATTTACCTGTTTGTAATGCTTGACTAACACAAGTTTTTTCTATAAATCCAATTTGAATTGAAATTAATAATTGATCAGAATCAAATAAATTTGAATAACGAAGTAATTGAATAATTTTTTTTATTAAATCAAGATAATCAATTATTAAATGTGTACTAGCATTTTGATTTTGATGTTCAAGTAATTGATCTATTAAAATAAAAGACAATTATAATGGATTGAAATTATTATTTGAAAGAAAACTTACTAATTGCATTTGTCATTAGAAAACGTGCTATAACCATAGGATAACACATTTGCTGACTAGGCCATATAAAAGTTTCTAAGAATAGTTTAGTAGTTTACTAAATATTTCAAAAGAAAATTATTTATTATTAATATTAGGAAAAGAAAAATTCGTTCTCACTCGACTTCATACTTTAACTATAACGATAGCCAGTGAACTCCTATGACTAAACTATTCTTAAGTTGCATGAAACTACGCTCGATTACTTTCGAGGACGGATCACTTCAAATGATGGACAGTTTCTCAGTCCGTATTTCGTCAAATAGTATCAGACTGCCTATTCTACATTTTCTGAAAAACATCTTCTCATGCTAGAAATTTTAACCGAAACATGGTAGAGCAATCCTTTTCTATGTTTCTATTCAACCGTATGACATTTTTTTGATTACTTCTTTAAAAAACTTGTCTTAGATGACAAAGATTTTTGTTTTACTTACTTTAATTTCTTTATCATTAATCGGTCGACCAAGACTACGAACAATAAGTTCATAACATTCTGATGAAATGGTTGAATCTTTTTCGGATGTATTACATTTGCTAATTCGGCAAATCACCACAGAACACCTAATCGAAATTAAAAAAATTCTTATTATAAATTTAAGTCAAATAATAAAAATAACCTTTTAAAGCATTTGGTCCAACATTAGGATTATGTTTTATAATTCGATGTAATTCAACTTGAATTCTTGTTAAAACTGCTTCTTTTAAATTTTATTTTATAATTCATACAAAATTATACAATAAAAAAAGAATTTCTTCTATAATACTTTAACAAATTTATTAAGACTTTCTTCGGCAGTCAATCGTACATTATAATCATTTTCGTCACATGTTGTAAATAATGTTTCCACGCTAGCTTTAATTAATCTAAAATAATTTCCTTGTTATCTCTAAATGAGAAGAACATTCGAGGAGAGATGAAAACTAGAAAAATCAAATTTTACTTGATTATTAATGTTTCTGATTTTGTTGTTGAAAGTAACCTTAAAACTTCAAGTGATTTACTTAGTTTATCCATTTTGATTAATTTATATTCAATTCATTTATTTTAAAGCCAAATAGATAAATGACTAAGGTTAAACATTATTATTTGATAATCATAATGAATGAATGAAAAGCCGACTGAAAAAGACTAACATCGATTGAATATTCGTAAACACCATTGACATTTCTGTTCTTTTTATTAATGGATGGCGCGAGATTACATCTTTATAAAATAAGACTATAAAGTGAAAACCTCATCATCAACCAAAATTCTTATAACTAAAATATAGTCTTTGCTACACGTTCAATAGGGATATGTTTCGATCTTATAAATACTTAAAGTAAATCTAAAGACATTATTTTGCGCTGGTGTGGGTACAAGTACTTCATTTATTGACATCCTCCCATATAGAGTCACGCTCTCTGCCATAGTCACCGTCATGACTTGGTTTAATATTTTATTTCTTACAATTTTGTCTCATTTTTTTTTTCTTATTATTGTATATTATTAATAAGAAAAGTATCTAATCAAAAATAAAATAATGACGTATGATGTCTTTATTTATTTAATGAAAACGAAATTTTTTTTCTTTCTATGGTGTAACGTTTGTTACTATGACAGACATATTTCTTTTTTTTTCGGTAGTGAAAATTCTATTCAGATTGGCGTACTTGTTCAGAAGTAAATAATAATGAACACTTTTGTACATATTTGGCCAAAATCTGTAATGATTCTCATAGTTATGATGTATTTATTCTCTACTCGATGGTGTTGATGAAAGTCGACAAACAAATGCATAAAGAGATTAATAGTAATGATAATATTACAAGTAAAAAAACAAAAATATTTCCTCTTTGCTTATTTTGTTTTTTTTAATCATAACTTATCATATTATTCCAAAATAAATTCTTTAACGAATGAAAAATTCTAATAAAGAATCTGTTGACATATCGGAATATTTAATTGAAAGTATATCGACTGTGTCATAAATTAAATTCATCGAATATGATCTCAAATGACTTATATGATATTAAATGTTGCTGTTATTCAGTCATATCGTAATTAGATTTCCTCGTTCATCTCTACATCATAATAATATATTTAGAAAAATTTAAGTAGGAAAAAACACAATCCAATTCTTCAATCTGTATTGAATCGATTTGAAAAAGATTTGATGTGGAAATCAACTAAAAACTCATTGTAATTTCATGCTTTCAAAAATATAAAACTAATATATATATATACTTGTCTTTAATTTTTCTAGAATTGATTTATACCTGTGTACTTTGGGTGTGGATTTGCCTATGGCTGTGGTTTCTTCTTTTTCAATCAACCACACTCCATCTTATGGGATTTTTTTATTTGAACTATCGAATATCTAATGAAGTTCATGATTATTTTACTCATGAGGAAAGTTCTAATAACAAAAAAATTGATTTTTGAATTTTGACTTGACGTCTTGCCGTAGAGACAGATTTTAGCAAGAGTCATTTATCATCAAAATTCCAAGAACGAACATCAGATCTATCAATTTGTACGAATGATGTAAAAGCCAAACTATTACTATACCTACATCTCATAAGAGAAAATTAGCAACAAATTTTAAAACATTGGCAAAAAACCTATTTAGGAAAACGAAACTCACAGTATGCACATTACATAATGCTATTAGTCACGAATGAAAATCGATTCATCAGTTCGAAGATTTCAAAAATATTTAAAGCACAGAAATTTTATCTTGAGGTACATTTCATGGTCATATATGATCTACGAATCAAATTAATAACACAATAAAGAAACTCTTTTTGGGAATGGCACAAAAGCCGAAGTCAATATTTTGTTTATTAAATGCATGGAGGAAATATTAACTTACTTCTAATAGAATATTATAAATTAATGAATATAAATTAATCGTTGATTTGTCTTTTTTTTATCGATAATATGTACATTAAGAGAAAGAAAAGAAATGTAAAAATGTCCATATATTTCATTTAAAGTGTTGTATGTCAAATTAGAATCCAAACAAACAGACACTAGTTAAACAAGAGAAGGGATATAAGAATAACAATATTTATATAGATGTATCTTTATATTTTACTCGTGTAAATCTAGTGTCCCTGTGTATATTTTGAATTTTACTCGCAATCGTTGTATGTATTGTAGGTATATAGTTTTGTTGTTTTCGTGTCGTAGTATATTATAACATATGCTTCTATATAATAAATTTTACTAAACTATATACACATAACACGAGCAACCATCTTAATTCTATAAATGCTTTATCATATATAATTAAATATTATTAGAAGCAAATTATGTCTTTTAATTCATTTCTCCTCTCATTAATAAAATACATTTATTCCTAGTGAAAATCTGTTAGAATAATATCTATTGAATATGAAGTGTGATTATGAAGGACAAACAGACTCAAACTCATGTTCATATCTACACGTGGCATTATTTCGATACTCATTCTTCTCACATATGTTGGAAAAAACCTTGGCAACAATGCAGACAATACTAATTCATTTTATTATATGTTTATTTTTCTTCTTCTCTGATTTGTTGAGATGATGATACAAACTTCAAAAGAAAACATGATGACTTGAGTATAACAACGAAAACAACAACTAAATGAACTTCTGTTGAATTTTCAAAAAAAAGATATTTTAGTCATGGAAAATAATTATGTTTTCAACATTTTTACTCTAACTACACAAATGAATTTGCTCTCTTTCTTTCACATGGCATTACACAATTAAACGAAATTGTCAACTCGAAAAAAAGACTTACAAAAGAAAAGAATAGCTTCGTTCTTTTTTTCTTTTTGTTTTTTTTTTGGATAAGACACTTATTTTGTTGATTTAAGATGTCTTGCATATAGAAACTTAGACAAAATAAGAGAATTTTCTAATGATTTCAGATAGGAGTAAAGAAAAAGAAAAACAATGAAAACAAAAAATATAGCGACTTATTTTGAAATTCTATTTGTAACTTTTTGTTTTTTCTTTCCTACAAATCATGCACAATTGATCGATAATACAATTATTCAGTTATTGGTGACACATGTTTTGTCACTGTCGTTTTGTTAATAAAAAAACCTCTTGAAATAAAAAGAAAACAAATGAACAAAAAAATTGAGCAAAGAAGTCCTTCGAGTCTTCTATAGCAACAAAAATAACAAACCAAATAATAAAAAGTGTCAACACGAAAAAAGAAAAAGAAACCTATTGAAAAAAATCATTTACAAAAAACACAACGTCATTATTATCATCAAAATCATCCAAATGGACAAAAAGCAACATTCAAAATCAACTGCTAGTGGATCATCTTCTCCTTCCACAATAAATAAACCAAAAAAATCATCATCAACAATAGCAGCAGCATCACTACCAAGAACAACGACAAGCAGAAATGCAGTACTTCCTCAAACTGCTCGTCGGATTCTTCAAAATTTTCTTTTGGTTTGGCTTGATGTCGATTTTGATGCGTCCAAAGACGATTATGAAAAACCAATGAAACATCTGCAACATATAGTGGCAACGGTCGCAGTGTTTACAGACGTTGATAAATCCATTGATTTTCTCACTGACATTGAGAACGAAAAAGTATTTATGATCGTATCAGGTGCCCTGGCACAACATATAATACCGATAATTCAAGAATGCCCACAGTTAGTCTCAATTTATATTTTATGTGACAATCAATCAATTCATGAGGAATGGGCCAAAACAATACCTAAAGCAAAAGGTATATACACACAAATCGAACCGATTTGTAAAGCATTACAAATCGATCAAAAAAATTGTGATCGAGCTATGATCTCGATAAGTTTTAATAGAATTGATCCATTATTTATGTATACACAATTGTTAAAAGAAGCACTTTTGCAAATAGAAGATGATGATGCAAAATCGATTAAGGAAATCGTTGAATATTGTCGTCTTCAAGACGATATTTCCAAAACAACACTTGACAAGATCGAACGAGAATATCGTAACCATACAGCCATTTGGTGGTACACAGGTCCATATTTTATCTACTCAATGCTTAATTATGGTCTTCGACAAATGGATGTTGATATTATCCTGAAGATGGGCTTTTTCATCCGACATCTACATCAGCATATTACCGAATTACATCGTGAACAACAAGGAAACATGCCAGCAAAATTTCAAGTCTTCCGTGGACAAGGTTTGTCCATGGAAGATTTTGAAAAAATGAAAAAAACCAAAGGAGGACTTATGTCCTTCAATAATTTCTTATCAACAAGTCGTAATCGTGAGATATCTTTCAACAACTTTGCACGACCAGCTACAAACAATCCTAATTCAGTCGGCATCCTCTTTATTATGAACATTGATACGGCTATTTGCACAAAATCCTCAACACCATTTGCTGAAGTAAGCAAAGTTGGCTACTACAAAGATAAAGAGGAAGAAATACTATTTTCAACACATGCGATTTTTCGTATCGATCGCATTGAACAAATTCACGATAATCACTGTGATCGGCTATATGAAGTTACTCTCACTATTGTGGGTAATGACAATCATGAATTGAACACACTTATAGCACACATACGTAAGGAACTTGGTGACCGTCCAGGATGGTCTCGACTAGGCCGCATACTACAAAAAGTGGGCGAACCCGCAAAAGCCGAACAACTCTTTCAAATTCTCCTTGCAAAGACGTCTTCTGATGAAGATCGAGCGGAATACAATTATCAACTTGGCTGGGTGTATAATGACATGGGCGAGTACTCGAAAGCACTTTTACATTACGAAAAATCACTTGATATCGACAAGAAAATTCTCTCTCCAAATGATCTCAGTTTGGCTAGCGCCTACCTCAACATCGGTTCCGTGTATTATAACATAGGCGAGTACTCGAAAGCACTTTCATCGTATGAACGATCACTTGAAATCAAGAAAAAAGCTCACCCTCCGAATCATCCCGCCTTGGCTTTTTCCTACCAAAACATCGGTTCGGTATATTATAGCATGGGCGAGTACTCGAAAGCACTTTCATCGTATCAACAATCACTTGAAATCCGTAACATAGCTCTCCCTCAGAATCATCCCGATTTGGCTTCTTCCTACGAAGGTATCGGGTTGGTGTATGATAACATGGGCGAGTACTCG